GGTATAGTTACTTATCACTAAACATCGGTATACAGATGGTGAGTTTATTTGAACGCTGAAAAGTGGGACGCACTCATTTATTATGGCACCTTTACAGCACTGTCAGTCATTCTATTAAGGGGGCACACTAGTCTTAGAAACTTTTTTTTGCTTTCCAACCAATTTTAATGAAACTCCATGGGCTTGTTCAGTTTTTTTAGCTGATTTCAAATATCCAATTAGTTTTGATGTAAGCTAATTAGTTCCCGAGATAATTAAAAATATTTTGTGATTGTTCTTGAGAACAATAGAAAAAAAACTAGTCAACAAAAAATTACCAGCATGGCATGAATAGATACTAGAAGTTGTGGAGAATGAAATGACGGAAGCAGTTTTTTTGTCTGGCAATCACACATGCAAGTTTACATCAATTCTAATTTCTCTGTTTAAAATATGCCTGCTAACCAGTTATTTAAACAATTATTTAAACGTGAAATGCAAAATCTGTTTCCCTTACTTCAAGGTTTAAACATTCAGCTTGACAATGCAAAAGAAATTATCTTTCTAGCTGCACCGCATGCCGAGATGTACCTCTCAAGAATTTCCTAAACGTCAAAAATATGCATTTTGAAAAAATGGCAAAAAACACAACGGTGCCATGTTTAATGTAAACGGTAAAACATTCTGTACATTTTTGGAGCGAAATGACTAGTAGGCCCCAGAAGCATAGTCCCCTTGACTGCTGGCATCCAGGTGCCGCTTCTTGAGCGTCCGCTGCACATTTTCTGCAGACGCACGCCTGAGTGTAGAGTCCCTGGTTCGGCGGCGGTCTTTTTCAGCCATGCGTTTGCTACTCAGTAGGCCGGGGTTTAAGCACAGCTCTTTGAGGATCTTGGATGATGTTACTTGACTTCCGGCATTAAACCTCATCACTGCCTCGGCGACCGCAGCTTCTACACTGTGCAGGGATGCATGGCGCTCCTTCGGGGCGAGCGACCAAATCACAGAGTGGAGACTTTCATTACTGTTCTGAGTCTTGCCTCGCTGGCAGCGCTCCAGCAGCTTCTTGTCCGCCAAGCGTTCGTACACTAGAAGCAAGGCCTCACAGACATGCGGCGGCAGGTTGTAGCGGTGTTTGGGGGCCGGCTCACCCCTGGCCTTGGCAGCGTTCTGGCGGCACCACGAGTCAGGACCTGTAGGGCACAGGCTGTGGTTGGACACGGCATCGTTGGACGTCACATGGTGGTATGTGGCCATCACAGCACTGTGCATGGCTGGCACGTCCCCTTTGTGAGATTTGATGGCCCAGCCATAGTAACAGGTCAATTTGTTAACCAGGTCACCAGTCAGCCGCCCCCTACCACTGAGGCTCTCAGAGCCAGCTGGCCTCTGCTTGGGGAGATTGCGCAGTTGCGTGCCCATCCTCTTCTGGACGTGGTTCACACATTCCTCTTTGGTTACCTTTATAAAACCATACACATCTGCTTCCTTCAAAGCAGGGTAGGTGCGGCAGTTGCCATCAGAAAGAACTGTAGTGTATCTCAGCTTATGACGCTCCCACGACCTCTGAAACAGAATGAGGGCAGCTTCCACTTCCATCTCTCCAGCTTTTTTTGTGCTGTTTTTCTGGCAGTGGTGGTTCGCTTTCCACTCGTCGTAGGACGGGTCACTTTCTTTAGGCGCCCGCTCGCAGCCGGCACAAAAATTGCAGAGCACGACATAATCGAGCACAAGCCCCGTAAACAACTCGATAACTGTGCCGACTCCGATGTGCGACGAGTGTCCCCTCGTCTTCCAGGAACCGTCGTACGACACAGCGATGTTGCCCGGGTTGCCGAGGTCCAGTTCCGCGTACAGTTCTCGAACCGATCGCGCGCACTCCGCGGTCAGCTTTTCCGACGCACGAACAGCTGCGGGTGTCAGTTTCGTCTTCACGTAGCTCTTCCACGTTTTGTTGTGCAGGCCGCGCGAAGAAATGTTCATCCATGAAAAAACGTCGTTGAATGCCGTTTGCTGATTGCCAGTAGACTGCATAGCGCGCGCGCCCAAAACATTGATGGCAAACGGCTTTGCCTTGCTCTCGCTGTCAACGCGCGGCGAGCTCCATGCCACCGACACATCGCCGCAGGTCGCGCACGTAAGCACTAGCTTTACGGCAAGGCCGTACTCCCTGTCCTCTTTGCCGATGTTTACATCATCGGAGCACAATTTGCACTTCACTGCACGCATAAGTTCGTTCACCTGGTCCAAACTCACGATCAAAAACCGTGTTTCGTCCAGCGGCGTGGCTGCGGCATCGTTGATATCGGCTAAGAGGCCGCACTTGCGTTGTGTTGCTCCAGTTGAAGCGAGCTCTTGCAGCTCGTTTTCGGCGTTGCGACGCACCTCTGCCACTTCTAACGGGTGCAGCACGGCTGTGTCAAAACGAACGCAGCCGCTGCCGGATGCGTTATCTTGAGCAGGCGGCGGTGGTGGTGCTCGGCCTATGTTATCAGGGGCCTCGCCACTGGCCACGGAAGGTGGGTCGCTTGCTCGTTCAGCGCTCCTCGCTAACGCGGAACGGCCTTTGAAGTTCTCGAGGAGCGACTTCTTTCTTTTTTTGCCGTACTGATTCCTTGTGTGGAATTTCCTTCCGGCTTTCCACATCGCGCGCGATCCTTGGCTAATCCGTCATTCTCAGTCCGAGCAATATGGCGCCTGACTGCGTCGCCGACGGCGCGAAGCAGACGACACACGCCGCTTGCGGCCAATCGCGTTGCGCTGTTTAGTCGTTTAGTCACGTGTGCTCGCCGGCGAAAAGGAACTACTTTTGCTTTTTTTGGCGCGTGTTTTCTACTCTACCAATGAGCGGACAGGAGCCAGAGTGGCGGGAAATTGAAGACCGAAGACCGCGCTTTCAAATGAGACCTAGATCACTTCGATACTGCCCGTGGCGCAGCTGCGGGGAATTATTGAAAAATTGCCATTTTGGCGTCACAATCTCGCCAAATCGGGCCCGTACGGCTTTTATAAGTAGCTGTTACTGTTCAAGTACCAACTTTTCGGAGGAAAAACTGAGCAAACTAATAGAAAAATACCTGTAGATTTCAAAAATCACATCTAAAAAAATGCGTGTTTGGGCAATTTTTCGGCCCCAAAGACCCGTGTGCCCCCTTAAATACGTGATCGAAAACTTGGACACCCCACAGTGCACCGTTAATTTTTTCATACTTCGGCTGGCTGATCGAGTGCACTGTCAAACATCGTGACCAGCTGTCTACACGATGTTAACAATACTTTTGCTAGATTGCCAGCACTGAAAGTTTTCACAGTTGCATCGGCTATGGCTATCGACCATTCTGGTGTAAAAATTAATGCAGAAATAGCAATTTCTGTTCTCGAAGGCTGTTTTTCGCAACACGTAATGGCATTTGGCTGCACATTAAAGGGGCACTAAAGTCTACTATTAAGTCATTGTTGATTGTTGAAATGGCAGTCCAGAAACCTCGCAGTGTTACTTTTGTGCCAAGGAAGAGCCTATTTTGAAATCAAATCACGTTTTAGTGCACGGCGTCGGGTTAGCCCACTTCAAATTACCCGTCTCAAGAAGCGGACCCACCGGACCGTCTAACGTCACTGTTGCCGTGCACAACGTTGCCCGGCTTTACTGCGTTGGTAGCAGCAGGCCGAAAGCAGCGGGAGCCACAGCAGACTTTGTACACAACGGCCATTGATTAATTTTCCTCCATTGGCTCCGAGATTGCAGACGCTTTTGTTTCAACTAGCCCCGCTAAATGGCACCACCTGTCCCGAGTAACCACGCAAAAATTAATTTTTGTACCACTCGCGTCATTCCCCACAGTAACGTCCGACGGTTTTTTTCTATGAATTAAACAAACGAACAAGCAGCATTTTATTGCGTCTCTTAATGCACGGAACGTTCTTGTTTCAGTGCAGTTAGATCGATTACTAGTGAATAATTGTAGGTGGTCGGTCTGATGTCATCGGAATCGTTTTGAATATGTCATACTGCGGTGTTTGTGTTCTTGTGCATTTTCTTTAATTTCTCGAAAAGTAAGGCACTAGTGTTGATAATATTGTCCTTTCAACTGTCATACATTGAGCTTTCCCTCTGGTGTAAATTGTTGACTTTAGTGTTCCTTTAGATAACGCCAGGTGGTCAAACTTTCCGGGGTTGTCCTCTACGGCGTCTCTCATACTCGTATGGTGGGTTTGGGACGTTAAACCCCACATATCAATCAATCAAATCAACACGTAATGGCTATCATGGTTGAAGTGCAAGGTAAGCCAAGTCATGCTTAAAGTCAGTTCAATGTGGCATACGAGAATGACCGTGAATATGAAACCGACAAAGAAGTACTAACTAAACCACAAGCGGTGAAGCATGAGCCAGCCTGACGTAATCCCCTTTTGGCAAATTAGTTACTTGAGCAATTATTGAATTATGGAGCAGTTAATTTTGTAACTGAGTCTGATTGCATCTCGCTCTCTTGTTTGTTGCTGACATGCTAGGCCTGATCTGCTGGAATGGCTTCGATGCCACCTGTTCCATCTGCGCCGTCGGTACCGACGGGGCAGATGAAGCGGGTGGCACTACAAGACGCTGAAGATAGCGAAAAAAGCTGCAATGAATCGCCAGGTTGCAGAAGGCTGATCTCAATCCGATGTGGCATGGAGGTTTTCGCCTTGTTAGGGGTTGGGCGATGATGAGACCTTCTGTCAGATCCTTGAACCAGTGCATGTGGACAGTGACTCCGATGAAGCACCGCACACACCTCTGTTATGAAATGCATATTTAGTGCAGGCCGTAACAACGCTACTGGCAACATACAGTGATGGCCGAACGCTAGCTGAAATGCAGGCCGACTTAGCGCTGACAAGCTTTTGCGGCCTTTTTTATAAATATTTTTTTACTCAATTATTTGGAGTTTTCAACAGTTCCAATGCAGTTGTGGAGCATGTTTGTATGCATATTTAGGCATATTAGTTTAGCTATTGATGACACCTGTGTGCTATTGCAGACGTTGTCACTACCAGTGGTGGTGATCGTGCATGGAAATCAGGAGCCACATGCCTGGGCCACAGTAACCTGGGACAATGCTTTCGCCGAGCCGGTGAGTGGACTTGCACAATCCAAACTTTACCTTATGCAAGACTGCTTCGTGCATGTCTAATGGTGTGCACAGTTGCTCACTAACTTTTTAGACTTGCCCTATCACAAACTTCCCTGTGGTGTGTCCAAACTCTGTTTGAAAACTATTTACAATGGACAATGAAATTTGAGGCATTATCTGTTGTCATGCTTTTTTCTTTAGTTGTAATTTAGGTAATCACGAATATCCTTGATTCTATTGGCAAGCTTTTTTGGTTCTTCTTTTCTTTTTTGATTTTCCGAATCTTGTGTGATCTAATCTAACCTTGACCTCTGTGGATAACAGCTAATGAAGCAGTGTTGGTTAGGTCTACTGTTGCTTAAGGGGGGACGTGGCAAGTAAAACTAATTTTTTTATTAATGTACTGTTTGTGATGAAATTTGGTGTGTGTATGTGGATGATTGTGAGGATTCCAAATATGAAAACCGTTTTCAAATACCTCTTGTACTTTTTGAGTTACAAGCATAATTATACTAATTAATGCTCTTCACACTTAAAGAGATAATTATTGCTAAATTAAATTATTTTTTCATATTATTATGTTCCCAAAGCATCAACTTGTGCAAAGAAGCTATTAGTTGAATTTTCTAGTTCTTGTAACCATAAATAAAATTTCCAAAACATGAATGTTGTTTTGCGCACACATCGCAGTAATTATAAAATGTGTTCTAAAAATTTTAAATGATGAGTAAGAAGAGAGATAAAGCTTTATTGCACTGCTAAAGGCCTCCTGAGCCTAGTGCAAAAAACGGAACGACTCTATCAGTCTTTGTTAGAAAATGACGGATGTTCTAGCGAAGGCACATAGGCGAAAATCAAGAGTTGAGAAAACTGACTTTGAAAGTTCACTCTTGTTTGGAAGTTCACAACATGCCTAAAACACTCAGAATCCTCCTGGGCAGTAATCCTGAGATGCTGTGGCCTTGGCCTCTGTAGAGCGCAACCCAGTTTTGCGCTTCTTTGTCGTGGAACAATGCGCCTTTTGAGCCCTCTTTACCCTTTTGGCATCCTTTTCGGCTGCTCGCCGCAAAAAGCAGTCTCCTGGATTGAAGCCCAGTTGAGCAGTGATCTCTTGCAGCGCACTCTTGCATCCACCATTGAAACGGCAGACTGCATCTGCAACTGCACTTTCCACACTTCGAAGGGAGGCGAACTGGCTCTTGGACTGGAGTGACCAAATGAGGCTGTTCATACTCTCCACAGCGTTCTGGGTTTTTCCCTGCGCACACCTTTCAAGGAGCTCTTTGTTCGAGAGGCGCTTGTAGATTGGCAGCAGTGCCACTCGCACGTGAGGGGGCAGTTTATGTTTGTGAGGCGGCAGCGGCTCTCCCTTGGCCAATGCCTGATTGTGCGGGCACCAGGAGTCAGTCCCACTTGGGCACAGGTTGTGGTGTGGATCCTGGTCTGTGGATGTTACATGGTAATAAGTGGCCATGATGGCCCTCTCCATGCCAGGAACATCGTTGGGGTGGCTCTTAATGGCCCAGCCATAATAATTCGTCAACTTCTTTATCAGGCCCTGCGTCAGCCGGCCTTTGCCACCCATGCTCAGTCCTCGGCCTTTGGATTTGTGCTCATCAAGAAGGTTGCGCAAGGAAGTGCCCATTCTTTTTTTCACATGGTTCACACACTCCTGTTTCTTAATCACCATGTAGCCATACACCTTGTCTTGCGTGAGGGCAAGGTACGTACGGCTGTCACCGTCGCAGAGCACATTGATGTATCGAAGCTTGTACTTGGTAAACGATCTTTCAAACATGATCCTAGCTGCTTCTACTTCCATTTGGCCTGCATTAGCCTCGGTGTTCTTTTGGCACTGTGGCTTGTGTTTCTCAAGCCACTCCTCATAGTTGTCGTCACCAGGCTTGGGGCCAACAGCACAGCCTTGGCAGTAGTTGGACAGGACACAGTGGTCCAAGACCAAGCCTGTGTACAGCTCGATTACACAGCCCACGCCAATATGACTTCTGTGCCCCCTCGTCATCCACGTGCCGTCGTAAATGACGTCAATGTTGCCTGGCACTCCTCCTAGGTCCTTGTAAATGTCATGCACCTTCTGTGCACTTTCTGCTTCAATGCGGGTGGCAGCTGATGTGGTGGCAGGGTGGCTGTACTTCCTTTGCAGTCTCTGGTAGGACTTGTGGTGCAGTGCTCGATGCGAAATGTCCATCGCAGAAAAAATGTCATTTATGGCAGATTGTTTTCTGCCAACTGACTGCACAGCCCTCAAAACACGCACGTTTACCTCAAAGGGGTTCGTTTTTTGTTGCCCGGAACACCTCGGGGACGACCACGCACTGTTCACTCTGCCACAATTGTCACAAAAAAGTTCCATCCTCGCCGCGAGTCCAAGGCAGTGCGTAGTCTCGAGGCGTATCGACCCTTCGTCGCACTTGTTGCACTTTACTGACGAAAGCAGACCGTTCAGCATCTTCTTATTTACAATGAAGAATGTGGAGTCCTTACCGCCGTCATTTTCGTCGCAGCCTTCGTTCAGAAGCTCGAGCTTCCGCTTTGAAGCGGACTTCGATGCTACGGCATCCAAAACATCCCGCCTTGTCTGCGCCCGCTGCGCGATTTCTTCACTGCTCGGAATCTGGGCCGAAACTCGCGATAGAATGTTCGACGCGCGCACGCCCGGAGTTGCAACGGCTGCCGACGCGGTGCCACCGCAATCGGGTTCGCGAGAGCGTCCATCACGGTCGACGGCATCCGGCGGTCTGACATACGACGATGTGGCACCTTCCACACTCTCGGCCTCACAACAATCAGCGAAGGGTCTGAGTAGAGGCTCCGTGACGCTTGAAGAGCATGCTCCGTCCGGAACTGCGACTGGGACGGCAGCCGCAGTCGTCTGCCCTTTGTTCCAAGCTTTCCGACGCTTGCCGTACTTGTGGACGCTCCGGAACTTTTTTTGCGGCAACATAGCACCGCAGTATGAGCAAGCACTCAGAAGAGACCACCGATGTAAACAAAGCTTGGTAAAAAAAGCACGCGAACTATCACAAAAACAGCAAACTGGCAAAAAACGAAGCGCACGCCGGATGATTCTCGACACGGCGGCCGCAGATGCGCTCGCGCTTCCAAGGTTGCCAAGGTGCGCGGCGCAGCTTTGACCAGTAAGAGGTCGCGCCTGCTACCACGTGACCCGCGCAGCCAATTGCCGTTCTTCGTTTTCGTTTTTTTACTTGCTCCTCGCGCTTTTATTTTCACTCGGCGAAATACGAGACCGCGACCATCGGGAAGCCGGCTTTCTCCTCTTTCCAAAGCTACCAAAATGGCGGCCCACGGTCAACAACTTGGCGCGTTTGTGCGGCGTGAACAACACCGTTTCAGGGGCTTTTTTTTCGCACTTTTCGGCGACTAGCCTCGGCAAAAACACTATTTGCGGGATTTGTAGCGCACGTTTCGCTGTAATATTTTAGAACAAGGAAGTTGAAGGTCTGAAGATTACGAAAAAAAATAAATCAGAAAATCGCATATTTTGACCAAAATCGGCACTTTACTTGCCGCGCCCCCCCTTAAATTTTACGAGTCATCATTGGAGCAGCAGATGGCTAGTTTGCCGCTTGTACGAGTGGCTCCTTAGTTGAGCGTCACGTTTCAGGTAGAACACGGGTGCCAAAAAGTGATTTTTTTTCTGAATCAATATGAATAGAAATGCACTGTCTTGACCAGCTTTTTATGCTGATTTCAAATTTGTAATTAGTTTTTTTTATAGCTGCAGCAGCTGATTAAAATATTGAAGCTAAAAAAATTAGTGCCTGCACCTTACAGTCCTTTTTAGCAACTTTTGCATACTGGAACTAATATTCAAGTGCATGAGCTCAATGCCCAGGCTATGCTGTACGGGCTGATGTTATTTCTAATAATTTGCTAGCATTGCATAGGTAAGAAATTGATTGAATGCTCACTGTTGATTTTTTTCTATTCACACTCATTATCTTCAGTTATAATTTGCAGAATGATGCTAGAGTAATACAAATAGCATCAGCCCCCAGATAGTTTCAACACGAGTGAAATGATACAAAATTTGTCATTTTTACTCAGCAACGTGTGGAAAACCTCCATAAGGCTGAGTGCATTGAGCAGAAACATCGAATTGAGAAAAATGCATTTGAAGTTCCAGGGAGCTGTAACTTCTGTGAAATAACAGCCACAGCACTACGCATAGGCTTGTTCTTCATGAGAATAGCCATACCAAATACTTGCACTACTTGCCAGTATTGTTGGTAAAGTCTTCTTATAAAGCCGTGTAGTGCACCCAGAACTGGAGTTATAAACACTGCCTTTTTCAGTTCATAGGCCTGTACTGATTCCCTGCAAGCTAATAAAATACAAAATTTGTCTAAAAATGTGACCTTCCTATTGGCGAATAAGATAGATCATGTACATGTCTAAGTGGGCAAATGGCTTATTACAAGACAATAATCAACCTTTTGCTTAATAAATAACACTTGGCTCACCAGCAGGCAAAGGCTGTACAAACTCTTGCCTGCTGGATAGCAAACCGGACGCTCGACTGGTCGACCTTCCTGCCTTTCCTTCTACCTGCTCCTCCTTGCCACTTCTGATGCATGTCAACTTGAAAGTCTGTTCTTTGTGTCACAACTGTATACATGCTCCTTTTGCAACATCTCATGTCAGATTTGATCTTTCTGAAGGCTGTGGCACACAAATCAATTTCCCAAAGAGTAACCAAGTGTCTCAGTGGTTGAAAATACTGCCATTGTGCCCTTGTCGACAATATTGGTTGCTTTAGTTGAATGCATTTGACGAGGGGCAGATCATTAGGCACACTATCACCAGCTCCCTTCAGTGAGAAACGCTTCTTGCGCGAGTCACGCAGTCACGCGCGAGTCACAGGCTTCGAATGTAGCCAATACCCTCCTCTTTGAGAAGGGTTGCTTGAGCTTGAGTCGAACTCGGAACAAGGCAGAAGCGCAAAGAACGCGTTTATC